TATCACAACGTATTCTTTTGACTTTTCCCCCCAACTATTAAGGAAGGTACAAGCCATGCTTAGTTCACAGTTTTAAAAAAAAACTTGTTGACCCCAGGTGGAAATGAACCTTACTTCCAGGTACAAAGGGGGTGAAATCCAGTGATAAAGGACTGTTCTTTTACTAAACAAATCTTGTAGTTCTCTTGATTTACCACTAGATGGCGGTCCCTTGTAGGTGTGTGGCCCAGCCAGTGAGTCTTTCCAATAGAAGGGATGATTGAAGTTTTTCCAAGTATAGTAGATCAGCCACTGCTTTGTTAACGCAGGCATACAAACTGTCCCAGGCTTTCAAAAACCATTCTTCTGGGTTTCATTTATGTCTCCACCTTCACACTTATTTGTACAAATCCCTTCCATTGCAGCATATCAAACTGAAGGGAACGCAATCGCTCTCAAGTCCTCTGAGATTATTTGCTCGAAGGCTCAGGAGGACAATAATTGAATACAGGTTATGGCTGAAGATTTGGGAGCTGCAACTTGCATCTGGGAACAGATATTACCTGAGATACAGATTAATAAGTGGAGCTTATATTGAGACGATACTTGAAGCCCAAGTGTTGATACTTAAAACTCCAAAAGCAGCCCCCATTCTTGGCCTCTTCATGTCACCTTTTTCTATCCTTAAGGTGCCCAACTGGGGACCCAACATAGCCCTGGCTTAGCATCTTCTGCAACAATTTTCTCACACCTTTCTTAGGGTATGGGAGTATTTGGTAGCCATAGTGACGTTCTTGGCATATATGTGTGGCCTGAGGCGCAAGGGAAGTTCAGCCGAAATAGAGGTGCATAGAACCATTGTGGTTATTCCTGTCATCCTCTTGTCTGAAATCTCCCAGCTTAGATCTCTCTTCCAGACTAGGAGTCCCCTGGCTTGAGCTGTCCCATTTGTCTCCCTTTCTCACCACCCTTCTTTGTCCAGACACACGAAAGAAAGAGACTGGATGGCTATTAAAATTGTTAACAATCGGAAAAGTTTCCATCTTCCTGGAGCAGAAAAGGGCTTGACAGAAATATGACTCTGAAGATCCTTGAAGCTCAAGTCTGTGACCCTAGCCACCACACCACACTGTCACATGGTTATGTCCACTCTGCCCCCTAGTTGGATCTTTCAGCAAACATGGAATAAATCTGTTTCTTCCACACCTCGATATACGATGTTGAAGAGAGCTCTTAGGTTCTTCCTGAGTCTTTTCAGCTGAGCATCTCCAGTAGAGCAGTAAGATATCCTTCCAAAACTCTAGATGGATTTTTCCTGGTCATGAAGACAAGCAGTTCTCATGAAGGCCGTTCCACTACCTAGGGGCCATTTTAGAAATGTCACGGGGCAACTCTTGGTTGTGCAGTGGTGCTGGCATGTTGTGCGCAGGACCAGGGTCACAAAGAAGGTTTTGGGTCCCAGCGGAAAACAAAACGGGAGGGGGGCAGATGGGAAAAAACTAGTATAGAGGATTTATGTTGATAAGCAGTATAGCAGGGACATGTACCAGGACATGTCCTTGTCACCAGCCTAATAACGGGAGCCAACATCCCCTGTCCCATTGATCCTGGCCACAGATGCAGGATAGCTTGGGAAGAAAGGAACAGTCATACATTGAAGATTCTTTGCCTGTCCTGCACAGCCTCAAACATACAGATGTACATTTTAGGTATATGAAACTTTGTTTATAATTATCAGAGTCTGGAATTCTGTTTTATATATAATCACAGAATCATTTTTAATATATCCTAAATTTCCCAAGGCAACCTCTTGTTAACTGAAGGATTATGCTTTCTTTCATTCAGAACTTGAGTAAGTAAGAGTCATTCACCATTTCAGAAAATCACGTCACAGACAACCGTGCCCTGTGTGATATTTGTGTCCCCAGAATCAATCTACGTTTTCGGCTCTCGCTCTCACAGCGATTCTACTGGAAGGTACAAACATATGACCGCTGTATCATGTTTTCTAGTGTAGTTGTGCCCAAGCATATGCATAGTGAGTTCATTGACATATTTAATTTAGCATGATTATATATTATTTTATTATAGGCTAACTTTCACTTTATCTCTCCCTTATTAGGTTAGGTAAATGTTTTAGTCCGTACGGGCTATAATAACAAAATACCACAGACTGGGTAGCTTATAAACAATAGAAATTTATGCCTTACAGTTTTGGAAGCTGGAAGTTAGAGATCAGGGCATCAGCATGGTTGGGTGAGGATTCTCTTCTAGATCGTTCACAGTCTTCATATAACAGAAAGACCTAGGGACCTCTCTGGAGCCTCTTCTTCATGAAGGCTCCACATTCATAACTTTTAAGCACCTCCTAAAGGCCATACCTGCTAATACCATTCATTACCTTAGAGGGTGAGGACTTCCATATTTTGAAATTTGGGCTGGGGGCTGAGGAGAGTGAGATACACAAACATTCAGACTACAACATATAGTAATTTATATTTTTTAGGTATAAGAGCTGGTAAATTATGTATGCCATTTCATTTCAGAGTAGCAAAAGGGATGTTATAAAATATTTACTAGAATGAAAAACTATAATATTTTATAGATTTGTTTCCTGGTTTTGCCATAGCAAATTACTTAGTGATTTAACATAAATTTACTATCTTACCATTTGGTGGTCAAAAGCCAGAAACTGGGTTCACTGGGCTTAAATCAAGATGTCACCATGGCTGTTTTCCCTCTGGGCGTCCAAGGGGGTGAAGCTGCTCCCTTGCCTTTGCCAATTTCTAGAGACCACCTGCATTTCTTGTCTCATGACCCATCCCTCCATCTTCAAAGCCAGCAATATAGTATCTTCAAATGTCTCTCTGACTCTGACCCTCTGCCATCGTCCTATAAGGATTCTTGTGATTCCATTGGGCCCTACTGGACAATCCAGGATAATCTCCCCCTCTCAAGATCCTTAACTTAATCACACTTGCAAAGTTTCTTTTGTCGTGTAAGGTAACATATTCCCAGGTCTGGGGAGCAGGGCCTGGACATCTTTGTGGGGGGTGGGCCTTTATTCTATTGACCACACTTTATTTTTTTTTTAATTTTTCAAGGTTTTTTTAAAAATGCTTATTTATTTATTTTGAGAGAGAGAGAGAGAGAGAGAGAGAGAGAGAGGATCCCAAGCAGGCTCCATGCTCAGCATGGAGCCCCACGCGGGGCTTGAACTCATGACCTGAGTTGAAGTCAAGAGTCAGGTGCTTAACTGACTGAGCCACCCAGGTGCCCCCTATTGACCACGCTTTAATATAATACTTGTTCTGATAAGGTCAAGACCCACAGATATAACTAAAGCATTGGGCTTGATGTTCCCTCTCTTTCTGTCTTGGAGCAGCAAGATTTCTTTCTTGACCTTGGCTTGGGCTGACCTGTTCCAGGGGTATAGTGTTTAGAGAACAGTCTACTCCCTTCCTGAGGGGAGCTCCGAGTTGCCAGGCAATGGGGGTCCAGGTATTCATTTGAAGTCAACCTGGATTGAAGAGCTCTTTTTCAATTTTTTTTTTTTTTTTTTTTTTTTTTTTTTTTACCACTGGGAGCATGTGATGTTTATTCTTTGGGGCATCCAGCCTTGTTTTATTTATTTATTATTTATTTATTTATTTATTTATTATTAAAAAAATTATTTTTATTTTATTTCTTTTTATTGAAGTATCATTGACATACAATGTTAGTATTAGTTTCAGGCGTACAACATAGTGATTTGACAACTCTGTACGTTACGCTGTGGTCACAAGTGTCACTACCGTCTGTTACCATACAAGGCTATTACAGACCATTACTATATTCCCTATGCTGTACCTTTCATCCCTGTGACTCATTCATTCCATACTGGAAGACTGTGTCTCCCTCTCCCCTTTTGCCCATGCCCCCACCCCTCTTTCCTCTGGCAGCCACTAGTTTGTATTTGTGAGTTTGTTTCCGCTTTGTTGGTTTTGTTTTTTAGATTCCACATATAAGTGAAATCACCTGGTATTTGTCTTTTCAACCTTGGGAAGAGCTGTCTGGCAATCAAAAAGAGTGGCATTTAGAGGCACCTGGCTGGCTCAGTCTGTAGAGTTTGTGACTCTTGATCTAGGGGTTGTGAGTTCGAGCCCTACGTTGGGTGTAGAGTTTACTTTAAAAAAAAAAAAAAGAAGAGTGGCATTTAGGTCAATGGACACTTTAGAATTTTCCCTCCAATGTCCTTATTCCTGGGAAAGAAGAAAGACAGAGCATGTTGGTGTTCTCCTGGCAACAGACACGGTTTAAGGGAGATTTGATAAAAAGACAGAAATGAGGGTTTTCATTTTCAAGGCCTATCTCCTCTCCTAGCCTGCATCCAGCACCCCTGTATCATCAGGGGGCTCCCAGACCTCTGAGCCCTGCGTGGGGGTGCTGTGGGAGTCCCAGGTAATACTGGAGAAGAGGGATGTCACTTGGAGCCTAAATAGTACTGTTCTGTATGTGCGAAGGGGGTCAGTTGGGCATCTGCTGTATTCTGCAAGCAATCCACCTATGGGGGAGGGGAGAGGGGGACAAGGGGCCCATCTCACTTGAGAAAGTATGAGCCTGACAGCTGAAGGTTCCCAGAGCAGCAAGCATCACCTCTTCTCTTGGACCATTTCAGCTGTCTGCTTGGGATTGACAGAGGCATCTGGCTGCTAAAAATACCCCACTGACCAAGTGTTCCCTATTCCAACTGAAGCTGAGCACAACCGCCATCCAGGACTGAGCTGCTTCTTGCAAAGGAATTTTGCAAAAATTTTCAGGTCCAATTCGAGAGGTGCACCAGCCCGTGGTCATTTCTGCTTTGCCAGCTTTGCTGGTGATGAACGTGACCCTTCTCGGATCACCGTTCTCTTGCCTGCCCCATTCCCACCTCCAGGAAGCGTGGGAGAGGGGGAGGTGAGGGCCCCATTGCTGAGAGGGGGTAGGGAAGGGGAGGTGCTTGTCCATTTATAGGCTTGCTCTTTGGGATGCTGAAGGTGCTGAAATAGCAATGACAGGGGACTTGGCTCCGTGTTAAATATCTGCCGAGCTGCCTGAAAGACTCTGAAATGACAATAGGGAGAATGGAGAACGTGGAGGTCTTCACTTCTGAGGGCAAAGGCAGGGGTCTGAAGGCCACTAAGGAGTTCTGGGCTGCGGATGTCATCTTCGCCGAGCGGGCTTATTCCGCAGTGGTTTTTGACAGGTATGAAATGTGGGGTGTTGCCTTCTTTTCTCTGTTGGTTTGGCCGGTGCCAAACTCTAAAACACTTTGCTCTCAAAATCTTCAGGGAAAGGGATAGAAGCCATTTGATCATTTTTAGCAAAATGGCACTTCTGACAGCTGTTTTCTGGAATAACTTTTTCTGCAAAGAGTCATCACTAATGTGATTTGCTCTGGTCCCTAGGAGGGTTGTAAAGGTGAGCCAGGGCGCTGGGGTACTTTCTCACAATACCATTGAACTTGGCTGAGTGGGTGTGCTGGAGCCCACTGGAGAGGTGGGTGTGGTACTATAGGAAACATCTTTCTTTCTTTTCTTTCTTTCTTTCTTTCTTTCTTTCTTTCTTTCTTTTGTCCGTTCTTTCTTTCTTTTTTTTTTTTTTAAGTTTATTTATTTACTTAGAAGGGGAGAGGCAGAGAGAGAGGGAGAGAAAGGATCCCAAGCAGTCTCCATACTACCAGCACAGAGCCTGATGCAGGGCTCGAACACATGACCTGTGAGATAGACCAGAGCTGAAACCAAGAGTCAGATGCTCAACCGACTGAGCCACCCAGGCGCCCCATAGGAAACATTTTCTTACAAAAGGCTCCATGTTTTTAGCTTCTTGAGTATAATAAATATATTACAGCGTAAAGTAATTGCTGAGACTTTTAAAAAGTAATTGTAAACATTACAATCCATTTACATTTGGAACATTAGAATATCACCATGAAACCGAAATCCCTTTTTACCGTTCCTACTCCCAATCCCAATCTCCTGTCTTTCCTCGGAGGTAATACTTATTATGATTTTAATGTGCTTCCTTCTAGAATGTTCTTGTACCAGTACATACGTATATCTTCATTTATCAAGAATGTAGCACTGTAGTTTGTCTTTTTCTTTTTTTTAATAGAAGCGGTATCATACTTCAGATGTCATTCTAGAACTTGCTGTCTTCACTGAACATGTTTTTGATATCTACCCTCATGGGAACTATAAGTCTACAGATAATTCTTTTAAATCCTCAAAGATCTGTTTCTTTTACCCCCATGTAGATCTATCCGTGTTGATCCATATGCTATGTGGATCACCAATTACAACTGCTGTGGATATTCTACCCAATAAATATATGAAAACTTATTTATCCACTTCCCTAATGAGAGACATTCAGTGGTTTCTAGCTTTTCACAAAAACAAACATTTCTGCAAATAAAATCCTAGACCATGTCCACTTGCACACATGTGTGATTATTCTCAAGGATATATGGCTAGAAGGGGAATTGTTCCACAGTGTGCTGTTTCTATTTTAATAGGCCTCCAAAGTGGCTCTGTTAAATTTACATTCCCATTTCCCCACAACCATGTCTATACTTGACCAAACTTTTAAATTAGTATTAAATCTTTATTTCAAAACAAAACAAAACAAAACCTGCCTAGTGATTAAACTATGACAATGTTCCCTCCACCTAAAGCTGGGTGACCTGCCTGACATTGATGTGATCTGAATCAAGATGGCCTCTGATATCTAGGCTTTGTGGTTGGCTCGCTGTATAGACCATCCTGGGAATGGGCACTGCTTTTCAGAGATAATTCGATTAGCGTTCAGATCTTCGTTTCTCCCTGCCTACCAGGACCCGCAGGGAGACGGCAGTGAATGGAGTATGTGGCTGACTGCCACCTGCGGAATGTGAGGGGGCTGAGGAGACAGTTATACCTCTTCAACAGGAGTCTGTCTGGCTTTATTAATTTACTTGTATGTGTGTCGTGCATGGAGGTGAGCGTGGTAAAGGAGTCAGTCGGGTTCAGAATAAAGACAAAAAAGTTAGAAAACAGAAACTTGGAACACTCATCTTGATGCCGCCACTGAGTCGCCACACTGCCTTGTATAGAATACCTCCATTGGTGCCTCTAGTTCCCTAAAAGCTAATATAGCCAATTAGTGTCCCTTTTAAGAGTGGAGTTGAGTGGGTTTTCCTTCCATTATAAAAAGAAAACTAAGGAAGAAAAAAATCTTTAGTATCTTCACACAAAGATACTAACTCTAAACACTCTTGTCTGTTTCCTTACCATTTATTTTAAAAGGTAGGTTTCATTTGTACTGCACAGCTGGGATCTTCTTACAGAAACTATGATGTTTTACGTTTCATAGTTTAAGTACTTCTGGGTGACTGTACTCTCTTCATAAACATAGTATTTAATGGCTGCGTGTTCTCCTACAACTTTTTTTCTGACTGATGTTTACATGGTTTTCTTGGTATAAATAAGTCATCATTCATTAGAAGTAATAATTACTGGGGCGCCTGGGTGGCGCAGTCGGTTAAGCGTCCGACTTCAGCCAGGTCACGATCTTGCGGTCCGTGAGTTCGAGCCCCGCGTCAGGCTCTGGGCTGATGGCTCAGAGCCTGGAGCCTGTTTCCGATGCTCTGTCTCCCTCTCTCTCTGACCCTCCCCCGTTCATGCTCTGTCTCTCCCTGTCCCAAAAATAAATAAACGTTGAAAACAAAAATTAAAAAAAAAAAAAAAGAAGTAATAATTACAAAACAACTTTAGTGAACATTGCAGATAGAATGCTAGCAAAATGTTATGTTATTATTACAGTAATAAAAATTGGGATGATTGGGGTAAACGATCTTTAAGATGATTGAAAAAAAATCTAAAAGAGATACTTTTAAAAAGTGATTTTTCCCAAGTATGTCACTGCAAACATGAAGGGGCTGCGCTTTGGGTATACCAAAGATAGCTTGGAAAGGCATGGGAGGAAAGCTTTGCCCATCCTGCCCTCCCATTGTGGCCTCCTGGGGAGACTCAGCCACTGTAGATGAGAAACCTGAGGGGGGAGGTAGGACTGAGAGTGACCCACAAAAGAGGCACATTTTAATCATTCTATAGAAGAGATACATCCTAATCCATGTTATTGCAAGCCAGGCTTCCTGCCCTACCCTCCAAACACAAATATGAGGAAAGATTTTATTTTTAGTTGAGCGCAACGTTTAAATGAAAATTCTTTCAAACAACATATGACTTGTGTGTACCTATATATGTTATGAAGCATAACAAGAAATGAACACCCATAAAACCATCATCCTGTTTAGCTAGAGTATGTGATTCTATTGTATCTTCTCTGTCTTCCCCTATCCTGTCCCCAACTTGTCCCAAAGGTAACTAGTAGCCTGAATTTTATGTTATTTATTCCGTTGCCTTTTGAGGAATAGTCTTACCACATGTGTACATATTCTTAAACAATATATAATTTACTTTTTTAAAGTTTATTTATTTTGAGAGAGTGCAAGTACATGAGCAGGGGAGGGACAGAGAGAGGGGGAGAGAGAGAATCCCAAGCAGGCTCCATGCTGTTAGTGCAGAGTCCGACATGGGACTCAAACCCACAGACTGTGAGATCATGACCTGAGCCAAAATCAAGAGTCAGATGCTTAACTGACCGAGCCAAATATTTTAGCATTTAAAAATTCTAAGGAATGTTTAATAACTGCGTAGTATTCCTTTTGACTGTTATATATCAGATTAGCAAGTGCCATCAAACTTGGATGTCAAAGTTGTTTCAGTTTTCCTAATAGATCTCTCTGTACATCTCTGATTATTTATGAAAGATAAACTCCTAGAAGTGTATATTTTGGATTGAAAAGACAGTTTTGAGTCTTTTACTATAGATTTCCAAATCACCCTCCCCCCAAGAGGATTATACTAGTTTTTTCCACGAGGGTTATAGCATTTGCCTCCTTATCCAAGCACTGGCTAACACAGAAAACTAACTTTTACTTTTGTATTTTCCGACTTCACCTATAAAAACTTAGTACTATTTTGTTTTGAATTTTTTGATTAAGGAAGTGAGATTTTTTTAAAAAAATCTGTTTATTGATCATTACATCCTTCTTTTGTGATTTGTCTATTTTCTATTGATGCCCTCATTTTAAAACTTTATTTGTTTATTTGTTTTATTACTCCTCATTTGTTTTATTACTCCTTAATAAAACAAAGCTCATTTGTTTCATTACTCCTTAATGTTCAGAACTTCTAAATTGTTTGAATTCTTATGAATCATTTTGGTTTATTAGCCCTTTTGATTTTAACTCTTTTCTAGTCCTCAGTTACTTTTGACTTTCTTTATTTTTCATGTCTTTTATTTTAAAACCTATTCATTTTTCTATCATATGTGTATATATATTATATATATATAATATATATATTAAAATTATGCCTAAGCTTTAAGTTTCTTTTTTTTAGTTTATTTTTATGTAGTTACTTATTGTCATTGAATTTATTCACTTTCATTGAATTTTATTCACATTCATTTCATTGAATTTATTCACTTTTAGCTTATTTAGTTCATTTTCTGTCAAGGGGAATGAGAAGATAAATGGTTTTAGCCGTAAGACAGACTCAGGCCTTCAGCAAGATTCAGTCCTTATCTTTTTGCTGTTTGGTCTTGAAAGGACCCTTCCAGTTCTCTGAAGTAGAACCTTCATCTTTTCCAAACTATAAAATCAGTTGGTTAGCCCAGTGGACCTACAGACTGAGGTCCATGGGGCGCCATTTATCACACTGAGTACAATTCCATTGCCACCATCACCATCACCGTCTTCAAACAAAACCCACAAACAAATAGATTCATGGCCAATGTGGAATAGAATCAGATTTGACCAGGATAGGAATTTGAAGCATATTTTACAATAACATTGGAGAACTTCTTCTCCTAAAAGCCATCTACAAATAACAAACTGTTGTCTGCAAGACAGAGGGTTCTAAACTTTATTTTTGTACTTGACAGAAGGGTGAGAACCAAGCACCTTGAGCAGAAGTTATTTCTGGTTAAAATGGGATGTGTGGTGGGGAAAGTGCTAGTTAGAGCTCAAGACATTTAAGAATGAAGTAGGCCCTGGACACCTTTACCTTTAGAGGTTCCACCTCACAATATGTCAAAAGGTAGTTTTTGCTTACCACTTCTGAATGGGTTTTTATAACTTTGCTATTACAATTGTTATTAATT